GCAGGAGGCAGCTAGCTGATCGATGCTTCTCTCTCATCAATGTTTCTAGCCCTCTATCCCTTTCCCTTCCTCTCTGTAAAAAATCAATAAAATACATTAAAAAAATTTTTTTTTTCAAAAAGAAATGCAAATTTTGGAATCCCACCCTGAACCTACTAAATCTGGGAATAAAGCCCTCTGGGGGTTTCTGATACCCACAAGCCCGTGAAAATTCCTGGCGGTGCTGTGGGAGGAGAGAGGCTGGATTTCCGGTAATAACGTTTGATCAGTATCTCCCGCAGGGCGGAGACAAGGTGGAGCAGCACTGCCTTTGCCCTGGGCACACACCTGGGAGACAACGGCAGTTCTCTCAGCTGTTGGGACCATTTCTCACCTGAGCTGATGTCAGCTTCCAGGTGGGTGTGAAGCTGGAGATAGACAATATACCCAAGTAGGCTGGCGGGGTAGCTCAGTTGGTTAGAGTTGTCCATCTACGCCAAGGTTCTGGATTTGATACCAAGTCAGAGCACCTACAAGAATCAAGCAATGAACGTATAAATAAGTGGAACAACAAACCGATGTGTCTCTCTCCTCTTCTCTCTCTCTCTTAAGTCAATCAACGAAATTTTTAATTAAAATTTTTATTAAAAATAAGTAACCTCCCCCAGATAAACCCAAATTTGCTCAACTACTGGTCTTCCTCATGGTCTTTGGCTGAGGGACCTGAACAGATATCACCAAGTCTGTCTCAGAAACCAGCCCGCACTCCAAGGCATGAGAGGCCCGGTTCCCCATCCCCTCGGGAAGGGAGAGGATGACCCCTGGGCACTGGCTGGCGACTAGAGGGACCCTTTCACCCGGACACAATACTGCGTCCCCTTGGGGGCAAGACCAAGGCTGTCTGGCCCCTGACATCTCCCAGCCCCCAGGAAAAGGACCAAGTGCAATAGTTTCACAATCAAAGGACTAATCAATGATTGCGCCTCCCCACCCCCACGGGGAGGGCCTGGGGGCGGGACGAGGACGGATCCCTGGCCAAACCTTAGAGTGGGCCCAGTGGGTGGTGGGTGCCTACCAGGTATTTAAGGCGGCACTGGCAGGGCTGGTGGCGAGAGCTTCTAGCGCAGAGGGCCCAGCAGCATCCAGGATGCAGGAACCTGAGTCGCCCCCAGGTGAGTTTGCCAACTCGGAGGGTTGGGAGGGAGGAGAGGACAGCAGACAGGGCTGTGCAGGGGTGATCCTGGGGCCGGGGCTGGAGGCTCCCACGCATCCACCAGGGCCAGCATCTCTGGGAGGCTTGGTGGGTTTGGGGGATGGAATGACACCTTCGGGGTGAGGGCCGCGGGAGGAGAAGCCCACCCAGGGACCAGCCTGGGTGAGTTTGAGGCCCCGCTGTGCCTGGCTGTGGGCCCCGCAAGAAGCACGCAGGCGCTGCTCCCGGGCCCGTTTCGGAGATGTGGACGCCCAGGCCTACAGAGGTCAGGGGTCGGGGCGGGCAGTTGGGGGTGTGGGTCAGATGCCAGGCTCTGGTCCACAGCGCGGTAGCTGCCCTGTGCCTGGGGACCCTGTGGGGGGCTGTTTCTCTCTTTTCCATGTCCCGCATGGAAAAGGAAACAGTTCATTTGCTGAGTGGAGGAGCTGGGGATTAAGAAATTAAAGAAAGACCAAGATGCAGAAATAGATTTTAAGCTGGAGCCAGGTGGGCGCCATCGTCTCTGATGGAGAGGCGGTAAAAGGCGGCCTGAGCCACACAGCAGGTTTATTTTAAAGGCCTGGATTTACATATCTAGTTCCGCCCCTGCCTGATTAACATGTCCAGCCTTATTGGGGAAGCATGTTCCCAGAGCGTGGCTCTGCCTATGCTCTGAGTTCAGCTGACAATAATTATAAGAAAATGCCTAGGTGCCTCCCAGGTGGCCCTCTACAGGGACCCCACCTCTAACAAGGGCCTGGTGAGCTGCGGACTGTCTGTGGGTCTCATCTCAGCCTGTTTTCCCTTCTTCCAGGCTCTCCACCTTCCCTAGCCCATCTGAGGAAGAAGCAGCAGAAGCGCACGGTGTACAGCAAAGAACAGCGGCTGCAGCTGGAGGAATTCTACAGGAAGAAACGCTATGGGACCTACGAAGAACGCAAGACCCTGGCGAGGCAAGTGAAGGTGGAGGAGCACCAAGTGCAGGTACACCCCCCACTCCCACCCCCACCCGAGGAATCACCCCA